CATTATCTCTTATGTTTGGATTACCCCCCAAGTTAGGCGGCGTACTACCATTGTTCTGATTTGGCACTGCAGTACCCCCTTGGTTTGAAGTAGAGGGACCAGAAAGTGGTTCTACCCCTTGATTCGGATTTAGTACTGAGGGATTATGTCCCACAATTGTCCTAATTTGAAAGTGATTTGCAAGAGGTATAACCGGTTGACATATTTGGCCTACTAACTTATTCATTGTTTTGTTCAAAGTGTTTAGTTGTTTGGCCATGTTGTCATAATGTGCATTCCCATTTTGGGTAAATCTTTCCATATTATGAATACTTCAAAAATTTACCTGTTCAACGACGTCTTGTGTGAGTTCTCCAAGTAATGCACGCATGGTTCGAGGACTCAACTCCATCATTGGTTCGTAACGACTGTTACTACTCTGATTCTGTCCATCTGTTCGTGGAGAGGCATGCTGCTCCTCATATCGCTCGATCACAGACTGGACTCCTCCCTGACTTGCTGCTTCCTTATCAGATCTCTGAGGCATATTGTTTCACCTTTTGTATTTTCAACACCAAACACCACTGTCCCACTGGGCGTGCCAAATTGTTTCGCACGGGTTAGTCGCTAACAATTAAAAGGGATCAGACGATTGTGTAAGAGACAAACCTCTTGAGACAAAGTCCCAAAAAGGAGTGTTCTTTTATTGGCGATGAACTTTACAATTGGAAATTAAAAACAAAATGTCTCCAAGGGACGCAAGCACATGAGTTACTGAAAAAAGCGTTTAAGTCTAAGCTAAGGAAATTAAAATTACATGTTCTCTGTTCGAGAGTTTTGATTCGGTCCTTTGCTCTATGTCTTTTCTCCCTTTTATACTTCATGGATGATCTCTTTGTGATCAACCGTCTAAAAACTGCTTGATCGTTCTACAACTGTCCACTTTCCTCGTAATGGCCAGCTTGTCATAAAAACTGCCTTTTTTAACTGCTGCCATTACTCTTCGTCGTTCAACAGTTTTCGATTGAATTCCTTGAATCGTGGAACGTGATAGAGCTGCTTTAATAACTGCTTTGATAACCGCACTTTTTAATAACCACAATGCTTTATGTTTGCTAAGATCTTGGGAGACTTGAAGGTTTGGGCGAGAATAGAGTAACAGCTCTGGGCGACTGCATGGCACTCCATTCGCTCAGATTCTGGGCGACTTGCAAACTTGAGCGATGGCGTTACCGCGTTCTTGGGCCTCCCTATTTGGGCCTTCATCTTAAATTGTTTGATTGAGCTTCGTTCTTTGGGCTATCTGATTTGGGGATCCTCCAATTGGACTTCATTCCTTGGGCCGTTCGATTTGGGCTGAATTTTTATGTTTCAACAGTTACAACTGATGACGATCCAATTTTATTGAACTTTTTAGTGGATTCTCAATAAATGAGCATCACCTTCGCCTCTGTGATCACTCTTATCGGGATTTCAATTCAAGACTGTTTGATAGCCTACATATCCGCTCTTTGTTTGGCATATCAATTTTTTCATTCCATATTTCGCGTTTGAGACTTCTTAGGGTCTTGCGGTTACCATATATAAAGCGGGACATACGAACTACCGAATCCCTGGTTCAACTGAGGTACTTGGAAACTCCATATAAAGTAGGCAGACTCGAGAACCTAGAATTCCTTATTATAACATCAGGTAATGTAGGTATAGTCTTTTCCAATATCCCTAAGTTGAGACTTCTAAAATTCAAGTACCCTATAACATTCCATTCTAGTTGTGATTTTACCTCAGAAAATAGCATAGAAACTCTTTCTGGTGTTTGTATATATTCCTTGAAAGATGAAGAGAAGTTGAGATATTTTCCCCATCTTCGCCGCCTGAAATGCTTTTATTTTCTCCCTAACCACTGTCCTGACCTCAGCTTCTTTACCAAACTTGAATCTCTCAGCATGTTGAGTTTTCAAAAACTCAAGTTGATTAACTTCCCCACTAATATCAAAAAGCTTACTCTTTTTTCTTTTGATATTCCTTGTGAGATGATGTCATCAATTGGGAAATTGCCCAATCTTGAGACTCTCAAATTAGAATCTCTTGACTTTAAGGGAGAAAACTGGAGCACGAATGAGGATGAGTTCCTGAAACTCAAATTTTTGAAACTAATATCCTTGAAGTTCGAAAATTGGAATACCTCAAAAGATCATTTCCCTACACTCGAACGGTTGGTGTTGGAAAATTGCGACTATTTCAAGAGGATACCTTCCGAATTAGGCTATATTCCAACACTGCAGATGATTGAGGTAAATTCTTGTGGCATAAGTATCAGAGAATCTGCTGACGAAATTAGGAAAGAACAGGAGGAAGAAGGAAATGAAGAGCTTCAGGTTATCATAAATGGCCGGAATTAAACACAAAAGTCAGTCTCTGCTAGTACGTGCACAGGTGAGTTGAAGTTCATATCATTCTTTCTTCTTTTATTGTTCATTTGAAGAATTTCTGTTTCCTAGCAGGGATCTTGAATCCCATATGGTAAAGAGAATATTTTTTTTTTCTTTTTCTTTTTTTTTTGCCGTACATGAAAAAATGAAGTTGCATCTTATTTGTTGCAATTGAAATCAAATAATGGCCTGAATGCAAATTATAATTTATGATCATTTTATTATGATTTTCATTTATAATCATGGCTTATCATTATGCGTGTCTTTCATTTATCGCAGCCAGATACCACACGAACAATTCGAAGCAGCTCAAGGATGGAACAATTGTAAACGTGTCCAAAGACTAAAGTGAACATGCCATGGCAGGAGTAAGAAATTCTTAAAAACATGTCCATCAAGGGAAAATTACAGTATCATTGGAAAAATGGAAATAACTGCAATTGAAGGAGTTGATTTTTAATTTTTCGTTTTTCAAGGGAGATGTTTATTGGCAATTAATCCGAAAATAGTGTTTTCGTGAACTAACGTTCTAGTTTGTAATGTCGATTATTGTATTTTTAGAGTGTAAATTGAAGTCAGGTTGGGATGCATAATCTTCTTGTTGGTTCTCTTTGTTATGTACAATGACGTTGAGAGTGTACAATGCAGTGCCAGTGATATGCTTGAGGCCATAATATAGGAGTTTTGCTACATTAACATAGGAAATGACCAAACACACACATGAGAGGTAGGCATTTTTTAATTCATGCAGAACTCATGCGCAAAATATAAGGGTCAATCACCCCCTCTGTCAAGCTATTTGGTCACTTCAACTTTATGGGGGTGACCGACCCTCATTAAACTTTATTTTTTTTCCGTGACACTAAACCATAAAATGTAATATCATCCATCATTGATGTGAATTCCATTAAAAAGGTTCCACACATGACGAACAAAAATCCTACGTGACATTAAGCTAGGCGAGCCAAGCGCCGAAATTATCGTGTGAGCCGGCTCGCTAGCTGTTCAGTCTGCATGATTGTGACACTGATGTCACCAAAGGAACCCCTTGCCTCATCAAGATATGATGTTTATGTACATTCATTATCATAATCTAATGAGAGACGTTGGGATTTTTTTTTGTTGGGGAGGGGGGGCGGGGAGGATTATGTATATATATATTCAGAAATTGTCTCCTATTGCTTAGCATAAACTAAGCACCCGTGCTTAGTAGATCATTTCCATGTACATATAGAAGTGTAGTGCCCTATTAATTAATCAAAATCATAGACTCAAAGAATTGCCACTATTAATATCCAGTTCACGAGGAAGAAAAATTTATATCAAACTAATCAGAACAAAATTCTCCCCATAGGAAAAACATGAATTTTTTGTCATTTTGTCCATCCAAAGAGTCCACACACTACAAGAATATAGCAGAATCTAAAAGGATAAAAAGGCTCCCGTTGACAAAAAAAGATACAATTCTAATCAGGCTTCAGCTACTCTTCATCTACATTAACCACCAACACCCCAGAGTGGCAGGTGTGAATTATATAGAATCAATGATCTTCCTAGCAAACTTCACACTCCTTTCTTTCATGGTCGAAAATCCTCATGGAGAAACCATCGATGCCTATTTAGGCATTTGTACCTATTTCGCAATCAATCGTCTAAATCAAGTGAGACAATCACTTCAGTTTGAGACCAAGTGAGAGACCACTGCTGCACCATTTTATTAGATATAAAAGTGGTGTAAATATATCTGTTATAAACATTGAATGCATTTGTTAGCTAGTACTACTCTAATAGAAGTACATATCCAGACACAAAAAGGGTTATCAAGGGGAATGAGAGCAGCTTCGAGTTCAGCCAACGGTCGGCTAGAAAGGAATTCTAGCAGTAGCAGTCACAGTCGTATCACTACACAGCTTTACAATTTCATGGTCGATTATTAGAACCCTAGCATATGCTAAGTTAAGTGATAGGCATGCTTAAATTTATAGAAATGCATATTTTAATCCTGAAAATCACAAGTATAACAATCGAGAAGAAAGCTTGAGCAATAGAAACCCAGATTGGGGTGTGCCTAAGAAATGTTAATGCTTGGAAGAAAAGCTCACTCTTGCCTTTAATCGATTGACCATTTCCCTCATCAAACCAGCCGCACTCATAGTTTATTCGGAGGCACAAGGATACTTCCAAGTAAAGGACCTTTTTGTGGTTTCTGATCTTTGTGAAGATAAACGCTGATCAGTTGCACTTGCATAGACCTCCTACAGCCTTATTACATGATGTACTTGTCATGTCATGACTTGGCAAAAGCAATGTGCGACTACAGCTCCCCATGTATCAGGTATACCGGAAAGAATGGCATAAAAATGACATCAGAGATTTTCTAGCACTGCACTTTCACTTCGTACTCGCAGAGAGTTTGCTATTTTTGGAGAGACTTCTAGACTAGCTGCTTCTTTCAAATACTTCTTCCTTTCGAAATTCCAGGGCTTAGAAGGCAATAAGGATGGTAAAATTTCCAGAAGCTAAAACGGGGGTGTCGCTTGGTCTATTTAATTGACCAAAACCTTATCATTTTAAGAACAGAAGATCCCAGATATTTCTTGAATCCTCCTTTAGCTATATCTTTATTTTTATTTCAACTACTCATCCGATCCACATGTGCTCCAGGTGTACCTTTCTCCTCCTATCAATAAATTTCTTCTGTCTATAGAAAAAGAAAAGTAAAGACAGTACCTTACATCCTCCTAAATTACTGAAAGGCACATTTCTAAAATATGAAAAGAGCAAAACTGAATGGCAAATTAGTAGCCACTGCCCATACTATAATTCGGCTACATTATGTGGAAACTGCCCTCTGTGTTGTAGAAATATATAGCATCAAGAACACCTTCTAAGCCAAAAAGGTACAACATGCAAAACAGTGAAATCCAGCACCACTTTTTAAGAGCTTCCTCAAGCATCTGAGCGAATTGATGAGACTTATGATTAAGGAGCAATAAGCCCCATGCAGGGCATATAATCAAATCCTTAATTTGCACTGCCACATCCTGTGGATTGTAGAAACCATGCCTACGAACCGACCTATCTAGTAAGTCGAACCACAGAATCTCCAGCAAATAGGAAATTGCATATGGTTTCCTCTAATGAAACGGCTTGAAAATTGCTCTCAGCTTGCATTCTCTTCTTTTCCTTCCGATAAAACTCCAACTCAGAAACTCTACTACATTTTTCAAGACCACCAACAACAACGCAATATGTTCCTAATGCAACATTAATGCCTACACTTTTCATAATTTGGAGGGTTTCAAGTCCCTTGTTAACATTTCCAGAAGAGAAGTAGGCACCAATTAGGGCAGTATACGTAGCAATGTTTTTCTCTCCCTCGGGCAATACACTAAATATTTTTGCAGCAGAAACAGGATCTCTGTTGCAGCCAAGATGATATATAAGAAGAGCACTTTGTTGTGTTCCGAGAGAATGACCTTCCCTAACCATTTCCCCGACAATCTCCACAACTTTTGAAAATGAATTTGTTCTTATGGATAAGCCTATTAAGGCAATATATGCAATTCTATCAATATTTAACCCAAACTTCATACCATATTCAAATGCAAATAAAGCATTATTCCGTCTACCATTAGCACTGTTTAGCTCAATAATCGTTGAGATTATCTTGGAGTCTAATGGCACACCCTTGTCCATCGTGTCAGCAAGTAAATAGTCAACAGCAACAAGATTCCGCTTATTGATTAAATTTAACACTAATCCATTATCCGCATTGGAACGATTACCACTAGCTGTTTCACCAAAGTTATCAGTCTTTTCCTCCTTGAAATGTTCTATAACGAAGTGCCGATTAACTTGCTTAAGAATCTCACAACTTTCACCAGCCATTTTAAAAGTTTCAAGTGCTTTTTGGTATACAGGATACCGTAGGACAAGGAAATTTTCCTTCATGTATTGAAGAATTTTCATCATTGCCCATGTCTCCCCATTTCTGCAGCATATCTCAACCAAAATATTGCAAGCAGCCTTGTCAGGTTGTACACCAGCCTCTTGCATTTTGTTAAATACCTCCAGAGCTTCATTAAATTTTCCTGAAATTAATTGGAAGAAAATAATCAAACAAATTTGCTACATCATACAACTTTGGAAGTCAAAAGAAAGTTACATGCAACAGTTTTATTCAACTTTTAAAATTGTGTGGATGCTAAAGCAGAATTACTATAAAAGTTTGAAAGTTTAAATCTGCAAATTATAGCATACTGTTGTATCTCTGTGAACAACAAGACTTCTAAAATTATAAAATAAACTTCCTCCTCAGCACTAGGCTCTAAGCCTCTATTTGGCCCCTAATTTCTAATATTCATTTTCAATCATTGGACCTACAACTCTTATCAACTTCTCAACCTTACGTTTCATCAATTTTTATCAAAATCTACTAAAAAATCTGATTTTCAGCTAAACCAAACCGGGGCTAAATTTGTGCTAGTGCATATGGCTTCAGTACGGCGGTGAGAAAGGAAAAAACAAATGACATATACTATTGTTTTACATATGAATAGATTTTCCAGTTGTAGCTGAACCCATACAGCCTCAAGTGATTTTGCTCATTTTCAAGTATATAGATGACAGAGCTGGTGTAATTAAAATATGAATCCAACTGTTTCTCATGTTAGCAGCAGAATGAATCGGGGATATTTGAAAATGGTGCACATTGAAAATGTCATAAAGCATTCAGAAGAGAAAAAAAAAATGAACAGAGTTTTCAAAGTTTATGAGATGGTAAGAGGTCATCAAGCTTCTTAGCTTCAAAAGGAGTTTGAAATTGGAATACAGAGACTCTTATAAACAGTGCATATCAGTTTCACTAAATACTTTAACCTTTGGTGATTACAAAATAATTCCAAAATTCTCTATTTTATTTGCAGCCCATCAATTGGATGGAAAATGAATGCTTCAGTAGTTCTTGAAGACCGTCCACTTGTATATTCTATTAACGTAGGAATAAGCTGGTCCCTAATCATGCACTCTTTGCTCTGTTCCTTTCATTTTAACAAAAGATGAAATACATCGCCTTCATAATTTCATGCTTTCCTCTCTTTCTTCATCCAATTGTAGTGGCATCATGGAGCTATAGGAAGGCAAGTTACCCTCAAGAATGGAACAGTTAAAGATTCAAAGAGTTGGAAGTTCAAAATAAAGCACGCATCCTAACCACAATTAACGAAGATAGAACAGACAGAAACAAAATTTGATAAAGAAGAAAGTTAAGCAAGCACAAAAAGTAAGCTCCCTCACTAGAGCAAGCAAGGTGCTCCATTAAGACCGTGTACGTGTAACAATTGGGGGACAAGCCAGACTGAAGCATTTCCTTGTACACCTCAGTGGCCTCCTTCGCTCTTTTGTGATCAAACAAAATCTTCATGTATGCAGTGTATGAAACAACTGTTGGACGACACCCTTTAAGTTTCATTTCCTCCCACAACTTAACCGCCCCATCAACATCCCCATCATTGGACATCCAATGCAATAGAGAAGTGTAAGTAACTACATCAATCTTAATCCCTTTCTCTTGCATTTGCTGAAAGACATACTTCATTGATGAAATCCTCCTAGCTTCCCCAAAAATATCCAGCATTGTAGTATAAGTATATTGATCGTGCTTAAAGTTTTTCCTCCCTGAAGCCCAATTGAAAAACAGCCAGGCCTTTTCCATTGGAGGATGAGTCTTGAGAACTTGGTTGACAGTGTAAGAATCCCATTTGATAGAGAGATTTTCCAACTGCTCTTGAGCAGAATCCCAAGTAGAATACTTCAAAACATTGTATACATTTGCAATTATTTCTCTCATATAAACTATAGGGTCTACATTTTCTTTCCTGGCTGATAATTTCGGAGATTTCTTATTTTTTTGATGGGTTTTCTTGATGGGTTTTTTCTGTTTAATGATTCTTTCAGAGCTAAAAGGCTTGGTAGTACTAATAAGCCAACGAAAGTAAGGCCGGATTTTTTTGTAGAATTCACGGGTAGCATTAGAAGTAAACATTGAGATATACTCCAAGAAATCTCTGGATCTGCAGAAAACATAAAGGGTGAGAAAATTAATAGATATTTATCGATTGAATTCACATAACGAAGTCATAGAAACTCACACGAAAGGGATAGTAGAATTGTAGAAAGAGGGGAGAAGGGTTCCTCTCCAGTCGTCTTCTTTTCAATCAGTGCCAATTTGAAATCACATTTTATATCGGCTTAATTGAATCCAAGCTTTTTCATAATCGCAAAAGAAATGGAGACAGGGTGCGGGCTAATTGATTGGAAATGGGTTTTTTCTGTTATTTAAAAACGAAAATTAGAATTCGAGAAATGCTATCTGTAATAGATTAAGTGCACGAGAGAGAAGGGGGAATAAAGGAAAGGAATGAAAAGAAAAACAGTTAATATTGCCCCCGTTTGCGAGGAAATATCTTTCAATAGCCTAAAAATAATGACAATTTGTAAGATTAGGCTAAGAAATGAAAACATTTGAAAAATAGTCTTCAAACAATTATCTTTCCAAAAATACCTCCTTATAAAAAAATTGCAACCAAAGTCATTACAATGTATAAAAACCTTCAAATAGATCCTCAAGAAAACATAGACCAAAAATGTTTAATTAATTAAATCCAAATATTATAGAAAATTTTATTGATTTAAAAAATGCAACAGAAAGTGAATTAAATTATTTAGAAGAAGAACTAAAAGGATTTTTTACAGAATATTTAGATCCAAAATTAAAAAATAAAAATGTTTCTATAGATAATAATACAATCAAAACAGAAAATGATATATATAAATTAATTTTTAATCTGAGAAGAAGAATTAAAGAACTAAATAAAATCATTAAAGAAAAAGTATTAATAAAAAATAGTGAATTTTATAAATTCTATTGTGATATTTTAAATACTTACAAAGATTTTAACTGGCTTAAAAATCTTAACCCATCCGCTGCACACTCCGAAGAAATGGTATCAGAGCCATATTACGAACCAAAAATTATGATGAATATAGTAGATGAAGAAAATATAATTGAAGAATTTTTGAAAAATGTTGAAAAACATAAAAAATCTAGTTATCCCTATTTACCTAAAAACACCACAAATGAAAATTTTGGAGATATACATAAAAGATTAGAAAATCTAGAACATAATTTACAAATAGGAAATGCTCTTTTAAATAAAAGTCTAAAAGGAAAATATAGGATTATAATTAATCCACCTCAAGATTTTAGGATAACACAAAAAGAAAATAATAAAGGGAAAAAACATGAAGAAAAACAATATATGATAACAGATGTAGAAGAAATAGAACAAAAATTTTTAGAATTTACAGGAGAAGAGTATGAAGAATATAAAAAACAGTTAGAAGAATTAACTGAAAAAAATGGAAAATATAAAGATGAATACTAATCCATCTTCAAGTCAAAATATAAAAGTAGAATTTAGTAGTGATGAAGAACAAAATTATCCTTATGGTACCCCAATACCTGATAAGGCTGATATTAATCAATATAGAAAAATACAGAAAAGATATACTGGAAATATAAGAAAGCAGTCCGTAAAAGAAATAAATCCAATGAAATCTTATAATGAACCAATCCACACAACAGGAGTATGGTTAGACTTAGACTATACAGATAAAAATAAAGCTATTGAAACATGGATGAAAAGTACAGATTTAGCAATACAATTTAATAAATGGGAAACATATACAGCTTTTGGATTTATAGAACATACATTCAGAGGAATTGTTTCTGAATGGTGGAGAAAGTTACCAGAAATTATTAAAGGAAGAATAAAATATGGAGCAAATAGAACTGAGGTATTAGATAATAGAAATACTCTAAATGAACAAAATATACAGGAGATATTAAAAAGATTTGAAAAAATCTTTAAAACAGAATTTTTAGGAGATATGTATACTTCTAATGAAGAAGAAAGAAAACAAGATGAATATAATCAGGCAATGATTGCAATGGAAAATTTAAAGATATGTGATATGTGTGAATTAGAAAGACACACATGCAAGTTTGAAGAATTATATTATATATTAAATCAAGGAAAATATCAGGAAAATAAACCTATATTAAGATCTTATTTTACAAAATTACCATTCCCATGGGGAATTAAGTTATTAAAAGAATATGATAAATTATTACCTCTAGAAGAAGAGGAAGGAGTTAAAATAAATAGTCTTGGAAGTAGAATCGAATTTACAAGAAGAATGATAGGTATGTGGTGTAGAGAAGTACTAGAAAATAAGAAAGCTTATAAAATAAGAAAGAATTCATTATGTTGTTATAAAGATAATGGCCAAGTTGAGCAATTTGGATGCCATAAGAAGAAATATAAACCATATAAGAAATATAAAAGAAAATTCAAAAATTATAAAAAAATTCAATAAAATGAATTTTAAACCACATAAGAAATATTTCAAGAAACGGAATTGGAATAAGAAATTTAAACCAAGAAACATTAAAAAATGTAGATGTTTTATTTGTAATGAAGAAGGACACATTGCCCCTCAATGTCCTAAAAAGAAAGATAGACAAAATATAAAAACTCTTAGAGTTTATAAAAAATTCCAAGAAGACAGTGACATAGAACCAATTGAAAATTTTGAAAATTTAAGTAGTGAATGCAGTAGTATTTATGAATTAGATACATCCTCATCAGAAGAAGATTATGAGGAGATAGTATATATGAATCAGGAGATACAACAATCAGAAATAGAAATTGAAACAACTGAAGAAGTTGAAGATTCTATAGAATGTATTAATCAGGAAATTACTTTTGATATTAAAAAATATGCAGGAATCACTAAAAAGATATTAGATCTACAAGAAAAAGATGTATTCCATCAAGGATTCTTAAGAATTTTACCAATAGTAAATAAAACAACTGTAAGTATGAATTATAAAGAAATGTCTATCAATATAGAAAATACTATAGGAAAAGTAAGAATTCCTATAATTACAAAAGAATGGGTAAAACAAAAATTATCCAAAATCCCAGAAAATGTAAGAAATAAATTAAAATGTATTGAATTAGGAGGAGTTCAGATAATGGTAAAAGGATTCTTTAGAGAAGGTATGAATATACCAATAGAAATCTACTGTATGGATAATAGAATCTTACAAGATCCTATAGATGCTCTATTAGGAACAGTTGTAGGAAACTTAGTCTATCGAAAGATAATATTTACAGTAAAACCAAATTATGCAATATTTTTAAATGATGAAAATATTGACCAAAGTTTCAATCTATACTATAGAATTGGAAACTTGAAAATGTTACAAAGAAGTAAGACTATTAGTATAAGCATAAAATCAATTTTTGCTTTTAATACTAGCCATCATAACAATCTAAGGAAGATAACTGATAATATTATTATACATAAAGATTTTGAGGAATTAGCACAATACATACCTCCTAGGAAATATCAAGAACATGAAATAACGATACCAGAACAAATAATGCTTGATTTTCTTAAACAAGCAAAAGAAATTAATTCTGAAGGAAAATTAATAAGAAGAAATAGTGTTAGCTTAGAAGAATATAATCTTATTGCAAGATTTCCCTCTAGACAAAACTCTAAGATAAGCAGACTTAAGAATCTAAGTATTGCTGAACCACCAAGTTCGCAATATTACATTAAGACAAGATATGTAAATCAAGAAGGATATAAGAAAAATCTTCTAATCCTCATAGATACTGGAGCAGATAAAAGTCATGTAAATGCTAAATTTGTTAGTCATTTAATAGATTTTGAAATACCAGAACCATATATATTTAAAGATTATTTGGGAAATAATCTTGAAATAAGAAAATATGTTAAGTTCTCTCTTATACTTATAGGAGAAGATCAAAAAGATTATACTAAGGAAATAATTCTATATAAAGATGAATTATATGAAGTAGATCGTTCACCTATTCTACTAGGAATGAACTTTTTTGAAAAATATAGTCCTTATAAAATCTGTCAAGGATATTTGAAAATAACAGTTGACAATAATCCAATTATCATTTCAAGAATAGATGAAAATATGAAATCATTATTATCATGGAAAGAATAATTAGTACTAATCCCATGAGTCCATATATTGAAATTATACTCAATATAAAAGGCTATTGTAGAATTAAATTTCATACTTACTTAGATACAGGAAGTACAATAAGCTTATACTTACCAAATGTACTACCATCTGAATACTGGAAATACAATTCAAAAAAAATAGTCACTGCTACGACAGCAGGAGGAAATAAGGTAATATACAACAAGTATGCTACGCAAGTACCTTTTCTAATTTCCTTTAGAGAAGTATTTGTTGATACAATATATATGTCAACCACAATAGGATGTGATATTTTATTAGGACAAAATTTCCTATTAAAATATGCACCATTTACACAATATATTGATAAGTATATGTTCACAACACCTTGTGCACATAAAATATTTACACAAAAAATAAATAAAGCTGTTACAATTGCATATAGAGATATAAACCATCAGAGTTTCTCAACCCAACGTGGTGAATGTTGGAGTACAGAAAAATTTAAACCAGTTATAGTTTTAAAAATGACAACAGGAAATAGATTAGAAAAATTGAAAAAAGAAATTTCTAAAACATATTCTGAAAATCCTTTAGAAAAATGGAATACTGATAAAATAAAGGCAAAGATAGAATTAACCAATCCAGACACTATTGTCAGAGTTAAACCTATGAAATATAGTGTTGATGACCAAAAAAAATTTAAAGATCAGATAAAAGAATTGCTAGAAGCCAAGCTAATTAGGCCTAGTAAAAGCCCACATAGCAGCCCAACCTTTATGGTTAGAAAACATAGTGAGATAAAAAAAGGAAAAGCCAGAATGGTGATAAACTACAAGAAATTAAATGAAGTTACTAAATTTGATGGATACTACTTGCCAAATAAGGACACCCTTATTAAACAAGTACAGAACAAAAAGATATTTTCAAAATTTGATTGTAAGTCAGGGTTTTGGCAAATCATGCTTACAGAAGAAAGTAAACCATTAACTGCATTTAGTACCTCCAATCCTTTAGGACAATACGAATGGAATGTAATGCCATTTGGGTTGAAAAATGCACCACAGATATTCCAAAGAAGAATGGATGAGGTAATCAAACCTATTACTCATTTCTGTATTGCATATGTAGATGATTTACTTATTCATTCAAATAATATTGATGAACATCTTGAGAAATTTTGTTATATTATGAAAAAACATGGTATTACATTTTCTCAAAAGAAAGCTGAGCTAGCTAGGACGGAGATAGAATTTTTAGGATTATTTATAAAAGAAGGAGAATTGCAATTGCAATCTCAC